TTTTTTTTTTTTTTTTAATTTTCTATTCTTTTAATCTTAAATTATATAATAAAAAATAAATCTCTCATATCCCTTAATACACCTTAAAGGCAATTCAAACTCAAAATATTTTATTTCTACTTAAAAAAAATTAATCTAATTATGTTATTAATAATGTTCTTGGAAGATTAACTACTCATCACTTTGTCACTTGTTGATAACAAAACTTAACTAAACTCTTATTACTTAACAAAAATACATATATGTTCGTTAACAATCATTTATTGACAAAATTTACTAACAACATAATGTGACATTAATTTGTATTAAAATTTTAATTTAATTGAATAGATGCAAGAAAATACATCTAATGGTTTAATGTCTATAACAAATAAATGGACATGTACTCATTGTCAAACTCAAAATAGACAAAAACCCTTGCCGCATTCAAAGTTGGAGGTTAAATAATTGCTAGTTCATAACACGAATTAGAGCGGTCCAATGCCATTTAAAACACACAACTAGGCTATGTGTGTGAAAGGCAGCATAGACTTTACCTTTCTTTATTCACGTACATGTTATCATTGGGTACACACACTATTTTTAATTGGACGTCCACATTGAAAATTGAAAACTCGACCCTAGCTATGACTTGGCCTACAGACAATTTAATATATATAATGCAATTTGTAGGTCACAATTTCTTTGAGCAAACTTTTGATTCTTGGGTAAAAGAAGCCGACCCAGTAAGGAAGGGTCTCTATTACCCTCATATAATCAATTTTTGGTGGAAACTTCTCTATGCCAATAGTACCTTAGCACACCATCCACGGCTTATTATTGTGGCAAGACTAAGGTCATGTTTAGATTAGTTGAAAAATAATTAATAACTACTAGTTATTAATATAATTGTTTATGATTTTTATAATTAAACACTTTTATTTGTTTGATATAATTAAAGATTAATAGTTAAAAAAAAAAAACTATTAGTCGGAGGTGAGAGGATGGAGACAAATTTTTTTCATTGAATAATAAAAATTAAAGAAAAGGAAAGGAAAGGGGGGGAAAGGAAAAAACTTTTTTTTATATATTTATTTATTTATTTATAATTTTAACATAATTAAACGAAAGAATAAGAAAAGAAAAAAAATAAAAAGATATTATCTCACATCCTCTCTTTCTCCTATCCTCTTAAGCCAAATAGGATGCAACAGCTTCTAATACCTAAAATAAATAGAACCTAAAACTTGATTTGAGTTTGGCCAGTGAAGGTTTTTGTTGGAAACTTCTTCTCATAGCGAATCAAAATCAAGGAACAGGTATTTTGGAAAAAATGCTTATGATTGAAATTACAACGCCTTGTCTTTTGACTTCTGTCATCTCTTCCCTCAATAAATATTTCCTCCAGCATCTTCAAACGAAACACACAGGCTTATACCTCATTTTTGAAACATCTGTCCCATTTTAGAAGAGCTAGCTCTTTCCGGTAAAGAAGCTCTTGGTCTTTTCTCAAGGGAAAAAGAGAGATGGGAAGGGCTCCTTGCTGTGACAAGGCTAATGTGAAGAAAGGGCCATGGTCTCCTGAAGAAGATGCGAAGCTGAAGGAGTATATAGAGAAGAATGGAACTGGAGGGAACTGGATTGCTCTTCCTCAGAAAGTTGGTAAGATTCTTCTCTTCTAATTCTCCTTCTTCTTTTGGAAAAGGAAGATGGACTGGGTAGGAAATGTTTTCTTTTAGTTTTGGTAAAGGGTTTGGTTTCTATCAGGTCTCAGGAGATGTGGAAAAAGTTGCAGATTGAGATGGCTCAACTATCTTAGACCCAACATCAAACATGGGGAATTCTCTGAAGATGAAGACAGGGTAATCTGCACCCTCTATGCTAGCATTGGTAGCAGGTAAACCATTATCTCTTTAATTTCCCTAAAAAAAATGCCAATTTCTCATCTGGGTTCCATCTGTTTTTCCAAAGGAAAGCAATTTTGAGTTTTCCACTTTTGATTGCAGGTGGTCGATAATAGCAGCTCAGTTGCCAGGCAGAACAGACAATGATATCAAGAACTACTGGAACACAAAGTTGAAGAAGAAAGTCATGTGCACAGTTCCTCCATCTCACCATCACCAAAGAAAATTTCAGCAACCCTGTAGCTTCTCCTCTCTTCTTCATCAAGCAACTTCATCTTCCTCCTCATCACCATCACCTCCATTGTCAACCTCCTCCTCCTCATCACTGTCATTCAACTACAGCACCAACACCCCCAATTACTACACCCCTTTCGCTGGTATGGATCCCACCATATCATATTCCCCAAGTAATTTCTTAAGCGGCAACAGCACCACTACTTCCTGTCTAAGTCCTGTGTCATCAATTCTTCTCCCTCAGGAGAGTTTATTGGGTCCTATGCAGCATTACCAATTCAAAGACAGTCTCATCATGCTTGGAGGTGAAACTAGCTGCAGTTCTTCTGATGGAAGTTGCAACACCAACACCAGCAACCAAATTAGCCATGGAAAAGAAATAGATCAGTATGGTATGCACAGTTACTTTTACAATGGAGTTCAAGAGGACCAGAAATTACTGGGTTCTTCATCAAATGGGTTATGGGGTGATCAAGCTCCATTAGACTATGGACTTGAAGAGATCAAGCAGCTGATTAGCAGTACCACAAGCAGTTGTAACAGTTTTTTGTTTGATGGAGTCAAGACAGAAGAAACAGTCCTGTACTACTGATGCTGACTGTGAGTAAAATCACAAAGATTTGAGAGATGAGAACGAGGAATGGGCTCAAGATTCAGATTTAGGTTCATAGTCTGTTTGTGTGGATAGGATATTGTAAAAAGTCAAAAAAAAAAAAAAATGAAAATGTTCTCCTAATAAGCATTTCTTTTTGGGAAATGATTTGGGTTAGAACAGTTTACTAAAAA